CCCTTCGGGAGTGCTCTGAGCACACAGGGCACAGCTGGCCTGGGCTTAAGGTCAGGCTTGCACCCTCATGTCAGAGACAGCAGTCTCCTGCCAGGGCAAGCTGAGTTCACAAGATGGTTTTTGATGATCACATCACCCCGGGGGCTCAAGTAGAGCCTTAAAGCTTCTCCAGTTGGATAAATTTATCACCTGCTGGTCACCTGGTCACCAATTCTGATTTACTTGGACTGTTCTCAGGTTGGGTCCCGTGGAGGGCAGAGATGAAGAGGATTGCCCCTTCTCCCAGTTCTCAAATTCCCAGCCCCTGCTTAATGGACAGGAATCACCAGAGTCAGAGACAGAGTCTTTCAGGGACTGGGACTCATACTAAGGCTGACCTGATGAAAAGGGTGGGCTTCAGGTGAGAGCAATCCAGCCACTGTCTCACTGAGGGGCTTCCAGTTCTATCCCTCTGAAAAGCCCCCTTGGATTTTGGGGCCACTGAGTCAGGCAGCCTCCGGTGTGGGTCCAGTGCTGGCAGCTGTGGAAAGCCCATCACGTGGCTGGGAGACCCTGTAGACACCAAGCCTGGTGTGCTTCCCGGTGACTGCTCCCCCCTGCCCCACCTGGCACTTACAGTGTGAGCCCTGGGCATGTACCTCTGACTCTGCCATGAGACCAGGACCATCCACCCTCTGTCCATCCCAGTTTTTTTCTCCCAGGTATAGGAGCCACATGTGAACGCTGCCTGGCCTTTAGTCCCAGAGCCATTTCTGTTATCCCTGTATTGCCTTTGAACACCACTGGCACCCTTCCTTGATGAACAAAGGCAAGATTCCCCAGGGATGAGAGCAAGTCCTCTCAAAGGAGTGAAAGTTGGATTCGCCATGTCCCAGGGCAAGCTCACATTCCTGTGTGTGAACTCTGGTCAGACCAGCCAGGCATGTCTCCTCCTAAAAGCCTCTCTGTGTAGCCTGTGATTTCAGCTCTGATGCCTGTTGGCTGAACTCATTGAATTTGTCTAAACCACTGGGCTCTGATCTTGCAGACAGCCTCCCTCAATCCCCTGGGTGTTCCTCTGTGGCCCTTGAGTATGTTCTATTGTTGGTTCATGGTCACTGCTGAAGATGCTTCTATTTAGGAACATCTTGGAATTGGCGAGGATGGGGAGAGATTTTCTAATACTCATCCATGATCTTCACTTTCCTTTGGCTATGGAGCTTGATTCCACCCTAGGAAAAGCACTGGACATAATGGATCACTCGCTCGTTTTTGAAACAATCTCTTCTCTTGGCTCTAGGATGTTACACTCTCCCAGGTTTGCTTCTTACCTGTCTGGCCATTCCTGTTTCCTAATCAGGTTTATCTTCCTATACCTACTCACTAAGTGCTGCAGACCCTCAAGACTCTATTCTAGGTCTGCTTCTCTTCTTATTCTCTCCCTGGGTGACTTCATCAACCCCCATGCTTCAAACACCCTCTATGTGCATATGACTCACACATTTTCACCTCCAGCTCTGATATTTTTTCAGAGCTCCAGATCTGCATTTTTAACTACCTACTTTTCTGGAGTATCTCTCAGCTCAAATTGCCCACAATACATGTATTTTCCCCGTAAAGCTATTATTTTTCAATTGTCTCTAGAACCCATAAACATCACTCTCATCCACCTTGTCATACAAACCAAAGATGTGTGGTCATCCGTGACAGTTCTTGCTCTTTTATTCCCCATATCCAATCCATAAAAAGATTTTTTGGCTATATCTCTTTCAAGTAATTGTCTCTTTTATCACCTCTATCTTCACTGTTATCACCTGAGTCTAAGTCTATCACTGTCATCTCCCACCTGGATTCCTGCAATGGTCTCAAAACTCATCTCCCCAATCCACTTTGATTCTGCACTGAAGCTGGAACGGTCTGTTAGAAACACAAATCTGACCATATCATTGCTCCATGAATAACACTTACGTGGCCCCCTATGTTTCTTGGCCTAAGGAACAAAACCCTCTTTTTGGCCTGAAATGTCCTGCGTAGACTGGTTCCTGCTGCTTTCTGACTCTCCAGCTTCTTTCTGACCCTCCCCTCCTTGCTTTCTCACCCTCACATTTCTCTTATTTCTTGGGTATGCCAGGGTGCCGCCCCAGTGCACAGCCTTGGCCAAGGCTATGTCTGCTGCTCCTCCCATATGCTCCTCTCTTGCTCTCTCTGCCTGGTTTCAGCCTGTCTTCTTCCCTTGGAGCTCACCCTACTGGCCATTTCCTCCCAGAAGTCACTTGTTTGCCTTTTATACACGTTCCAAATGTCATGTGCCTCTGTGTTCAAACCGTTAACAGTGTTGAAAATTCGCTCTTACTGATTCTTGGTTTATTAATTGTATGCCGCTAATCCCAACCACTGCTAATTGTAGACTCCTTGAGGGCAAGAACTGTGCCTGTCTTGCTGACCACTGTATCCCCAAACGCCTGGCACATGTGGGTCCTTGTGATTGTTCATTGAAGGAACGAAGTGTGAGTTTCATTAGACCAAGCTAATTACAGAGTTCCTAGGATAAGGAGATCCTGTCCAGGGGCTCTTTGCCCATGTATGCCAAGTCTCTAGACTTAGACCCCTTAGCAGGCACTAAGTGAAATTTAGCTGTGCCAATGAGTGAATGCTCCAGAGTCAACCCTTCCTCCAAATTCTTAATAAAAAAGACTCTGTCAATATAGAGGAAATTGTGATCTGAAGTGCTCTACTTCCTTTATGCTTCATATGTGGTGGCTTAGTCATATCTCAGAAGTTGTCTCCAAACCAGGAGATGGGGGCTACATAGGAGCTATTCAGAACAAGCCCCCACCCTGGAATGTCAGACCAGTCCTGCTGCAGAGGGGGCTGGCTAACTTCCCCAGGAATCCTCTAGGCTGTACATTGGCAGAGTCTGCTCAGGTAGCCCTGGAATTGGATGAGCTGGTCTTGCCTTTAGCTTGAGAAAGGAATGAGTAAAATCCTTCCTCTGTAAGTCCTTCTAGGAGAAGAATCTCAGACCCTACAGACAGCATAGTTTGGCACACAGCACGTGGGTGCTCAATAGCAAAATAAAGAATGACTGAATGAATAAATGAAGCCAACAATTTGGTTCACTGACCTTTATATCATTTCATAATCATTTGTTAAACATGGATCATTAGGAGGAAGGCCTGTGCTAGACACTGGCACTAGAGAGATGAATTGGATGTGCACCCATTCCTTAAGACTTACTATTCTCACCAGGGAGACTTGGCTAAGTAAACCCAACTCATCTAAGTTACAACAGTCTGGGCAAAGCGCTCTGAAAGAGGAAACCCTTGACACTCTTAAGCAAAAACAAAGGGATGCATCAAGGTGCTAGAGGGCTGTTCTAAAATATCCATGAGTTTGGGGAAATCAGAACAATAGCGTATGGGTAGTAGCATCCCTTAAACTCAAGACTCAGCCGAGTTCTGTGAACACATGACTGAAAAAAGGAGAAAACTCAATTTAGTTCCACGAGAACAAATGTGTGTGGGCAGAGACGTCATCCCTCGAGCTAAACACTGAACAACCGCAAACGTTTAGGGAGCCCTTATTACCAGCCAGACTCTGCTAACATGGGAAAACAAAGATAAACGAGGCATAATCCCTCACTTCTGAAAAGCTTGCAGACCACGGGAGGAGACAGATGTGGAGACAGATAGCTAATAATGTTGATGCATTGGTTTAAGAGATATTGTGAGGTTTGCACAAAGTGTCATAAAGTGTTAACAGAATTTAGAGAAGAGAGAGAGAGAAGCTCTCCCAGGGGTGCATGCCAGAGAAGGTGCACTGGCTGCTGAAAGATGAGCTGAGGCTGATGTGGCAAAAAAAGAGGAATGAGTTAGGACTTCCAGCTGCCTCGCACAAACATGGCATTGTTGGGAATGGGATGTGAAGGGGAGCAGGAGGATGTTCACTTAGGGTGCCGGTAACCCCAGGACCACTCTCCAGAATGACTGAAATCAGAAGTTGCCTGTGATCCCAAGAACATGACATGAGGAGGCTGGGCTTTGGCGTCCTCTGACTGCCTATTTTTTCTATGGCGTAAGCCAAATCGTTGTTTTAACCACAGTGGGATGGAAAAACTAGGGGATTAAGAGTTGAATTCAAGGTTTATGACCACTAAGGTCTAAACTTAGAGGCAGAAAACCTGTGGAATCCTGGCCCTGACCTTGATCAGTTAACCTTTAGCAAGCTCCCTAAGTTCCCTTGGTCTCCTCATCTATAAAATGGGAAAATCGATATCTATCTTTGGGAATGTTTTGAGGCTTGACCAAGCTAGATCCATGAACTCAGCACAGGCTGAGATTATAGTAAGCGACCAGTTCCCTGACTTCCTCCATTGGGGACAGAGTAAATGAATTAGCACCTGGTAGAGCACATTGCATTAGACTTATATGCTAAAAAATGGAACCAGTCATATTTAAGTGTTCTTGGAATCCAAGGCAGTTGCCTTTAATACACTAAGCTTTTACCCTACCATTTGTTTCATATAAGGAATAAAACAAAAGCTTTTTTACCTTTAAAAGTCCAGTGATTTTAATTGTGTTGCCTTAACATGAAGTTGTTATGTCCACCATTTACCTGAAAGACTAAAGTAGGGTCAGGAACAATTCCATGAACCCAAACACTGAACTGTAGCTCAAATGGCTTGATCCTAGGGACAAAGCTCTGGGAGATAAAAATTCTCCACTTGATCTCACTGGAGGGGAAAGGGTGCTCCAGCGCAGCACAGACATGACCTTAGGCAACTTCTTTCATTTCTCTGCATGTCACTTTCTTCATCTGCAGAAGGATCTAATGATAATCCCAACCTCAGGAAGGATTGATCCTTAAAAGGTATTAAATGGGACAATGTATATGATACGCTTAGTACAGTGCCTGGCACACAGTTAGCTCTGGATAAAAGGAAGCTGTTGCCATGATGTTTGTTGTGTAGTCACATGTGTGAACCTTTTCAACATCTGTCCCTTTTCCTGTTCCCCTCCAAGGTGCCTCCACCCAGAATTCTAACACCATGGAGCCAGAGAAGCAGGTGGACAACACCGTGAAGATGGCCGGCGTGATCGCTGGCCTCCTCATGTCCATCATCATTCTCCTGGGCGTGATGCTCACCATCAAAAGGAGGTGAGTCCCTGCCGCTGCCCTAAAGACTCTGCTGACCCCAGGTGACCCCATGCCGACCTGCCACGTGGCCAGGTCGTTGCTCTGTGGATCACTGTCCAGCAGAGATCTTCTCATTTGATTGTCGTGGTCCTGAAATACTTGGGCCGACGGTGGCTCACTGTGTTGGTATCCAAAGGGGTGTGCTGCCTGCTGGGCAGGTAGCCCGGAGATGGCTGGTCTCTAAGGGGCCGGTGATCGCTACAGCTGGGCCCCCTTGATGTGCGGTGGGTTCTGTGTATCAGGAAACGAGTCTTCCTGGAGTTGCATGCTCTACCATGATCAGTCATGTCATCAAGACAGCTGGGGAGCCCCTGGAACATCCGTGAGCCCAGAAATGCAGTTGCAGGAAAGGAATGCTTTGTTCTTCTCAGCTCCAATCAGCCCTGATTTCCATCGGTCAAGCAGCAGCATCCCAAGCTGCCCTCTGCTTGAGAGAAAAAGCCTATAATGGTGCGAGGGTCCCCAGGGATTCTCCTGCTCCAGGATCCTTCCTACTCCATGTCCCCCAAAACCTCCCCAGCCAGGTTGTTGCTGCTTGTCACCTCTTAAACATTCTGTCTCCCCAGGCACCTCTGCCAGGTAACACAGTTTTGTCACTTCGTGTGTGTTTTTGCCAGTGTTGCTCATGAAAGCAAGGGTGCAGATTCCCCCTCTAGTCCCAAGATTTGCTATAGCAGCATCTCCTGGCTAGGAGATGTCCACGGGCTTGAGGATAACACAAGAGAATCACAAGGAGTGAGAGGAAATACAAAGAATGAGTATCACCTATTGCTGACCTCCAGGTGCCTTGGTTATTCCTCGAAACAAGAGTCCTGCTGACCTGCTCTCCTTAGCCCCTGCCTGCCACCGTGTTACCAGGCCTACTTCCCACCTGCACGTCTTCTCCGTTCCAAAGCCAGGGCCCCAACCCTGGCTCTACCTCCCCACTCCCCAGTCTTCCAGAGCAAACAAAGCATTTGCCCACATTATAATACGTGCTATTAATATAGTGTGCTCTGCCCCCAGTGAAAAGAGCCTCCTACATTATTAACCAAACTAATATCTCAGCCTGAAGCTCTGGGTTTTGGTTACACACAGAGTTCAGGGCAATCCCAAGTACTAGGGCCAGGGACTTACTTCCATATGAAGGAAAAAAAAAAATTGCACATGAAACTTACTCCCTGCCAGAGCAAAGGGACAGAATTCCCCCAGACTAATTGCAGCTTTTGCCTTAGAAACCACACGAATACAAATGCAGAAAATAAAATTTAAAAAAAGCAACGTCCCCATTTCCAGCCACCAGTAATTCAGAGAGAGATACTGGAGTTCCCATGACACATGCAGTTGGCCCTCTCTTGGCCAATGTCCCTCTGTCTTTCTCTCATGATTCTGTTTTGAACCTGTTTTGAGCCTGCCCTTCCTCTGGCCAGGACAGCTTTATGTTAGGACATCCTTTCTTGACATCTGTTGTCTGATGGGATCACTCTTTGCCTCAAACTCTCAACAGAATGGCTTAAGAGTTAAGGTTCTGGGCCGGGCGCGGTGGCTCACACCTATAATCCTAGCTCTTGGGAGGCCGAGGCGGGCGGATTGCTCAAGGTCAGGAGTTCAAAACCAGCCTAAGCAAGAGCGAGACTCTGTCTCTACTATAAATAGAAAGAAATTAATTGGCCAACTGATATATATATAAAAAAAAAATTAGCCGGGCATGGTGGCTCATGCCTGTAGTCCCAGCTACTTGGAAGGCTGAGGCAGAAGGATCGCTCGAGCCCAGGAGTTTGAGGTTGCTGTGAGCTAGGCTGACGCCACGGCACTCACTCTAGCCTGGACAACAAAGCGAGACTCTGTCTAAAAAAAAAAAAAAAAAAAAAAAGAGTTAAGGTTCTTACCCAGGTACTGATTTTCTGACTGGAGGGACCTAGGGAGAAGAGAAGGTGCTATGTTAATATTGGGGGTGAAGAGTCCTCGAAGGATTAAGGACAGCACAGTGTTGTCACATCACCATCATCACCGATAAAACGTGACCATATTATATGTCTCAGTGACTAGGCAGCTGGTATAATATGAGGCAGGACACGAGTTTAGATCTCTCTGGGGGCAGTAAGCATGTAGCACATGGAAGATCATCGACATGGTGTTAGAGGCATTAGAGGCAGAGGTTTGGGATTGTCTATCAGGAAAAAGTAACCAATTTAATGGAACTGAATATCTCTTTGATAGGCCTGAAATTTTCTCATTCTTTGCCACCGATGTGTAAGTCAGATATACTCTTCCAATTTTGCTCTTTCTAAAGCCTGGCTTAACCCACGTCACCATCGTCTGTGAGCCTGCGAAGAAATTTCACTTCCTTCTCAACAGCTATTTTTGAAATGTGTGACTTTCGGGGGAGGGAGGAAAGGGCTTTATGTTTCCAGGATGGGAGCAACTGGGAAGTGAGTCCTTGGTGTAGTTCTAACCCCCTCCGAGTGTCTGCCTCAACTCTCCTGTCTATCAAAACTGTCCCTCAGACCTGTCCACAGGCAGCGTCATATGAGCACCATGCATCCCCAGGGGGCAAAGCTCGGACACCGTGTGGCGGTATGGGAAGGCGCCCATCAGTGTTTACTTACACGGTATCTTTTGTAGAAAATAGGACACTTTGCTGACCTAGTTGATAGAAGCAGTTTAGAGGTGGGTGGAGAGAAGAGGAGAAAAATGTGGATCAAGAGAAAAATTAAACACAGGTCTGCACCCTTTGCACTAACCTACAATGTCTTTCTGTGACAAAGGACAGTGAAAGGTGTGGTAAAATCTCCTCTGCACCTTTTCTGATCTTAGCCCTGTATATAAAAATGGGTAAATTTCATTGGTTAGTTGAGTCTTTTACTAACTTACTGCTGGCCAGAATGTTGTCTACCTAAAAGAAGAAGTGCTAAAATAAAAGAAACTCCCAAATAATAGGCTGATCACCACGGCTCAGGATCTTAGTGTCAGCATCTTTCCAGTCTCCCATCACTGCCTACCCTTCCTGGATCCAGGGGTTCTCAGAGATCAAACGCCTGCTATGCCCCATCCAGTAGCTCAAACTTTCCTGGGTCTTCTCCCTGCCCTCCATGTGCATGGGCACAGGTGCTTTCTGGGGTTTTTTGTGTTTTTTTTTTTTTCCTGCTCTTAATAGATTCCACTGACTTAAAGTCTCCCTGAAGTTATAGCTACAGATGTTTTCAGTAAACATTAGATATCCCCAGCTTCTCCCTCTGAGGAGTTCTCCATGGTTGGCCTTAGGGCTTCCTTCTCACTCTCCAGAGAGAGTCTTTCTCTTCCCATCAGGGGTTTCCTTTGTGACACAGAGCTAGAAAGCAGGAAGAGAATGGGCTTGAGAGACAAAGGATGAATGAGGGCTTCACGAAAGAAGCTAAGTTAACTTAAATTCAGACCTGTGGGAAGTGGAAGAGGGAGGAAAAAAGAGAGATTGACAAAAACATCAAGAAGGCCCATGGGATGCTTTATTGCTGTTGCTTGGTTTTGTTTTGTAGTGGGGTGGGGGGTCTTGAGAAATGGAAGGCAGAAAGAGATATGAGATGTTGGAGGGTAATTCAAATGGGATTCTCTTATAGTTTGCAAGAGATGCAAGTTAAAGTTCAGAATTCTTTTGTATTACCTTGGCTGATTAGACTGGGATTCTCTGAATGTGGAACCATGCAGAACCGAGACTACATAAAGACACCCAAGGTTATGTGAGCATTATAAGAGGGATCCTGGAGCCCCTCGCTGATGGAGTTAATTATCGGTGTGGTTTTAGCCACACTCACTGTGAAATATCCATCCTTATGCTGTCACTGGGTAATGGCTCTATCTTTTTCTCTTGGATCTATTGATCACATCTACACCTCAGAATGTTCTAGAATGGATGCCACATGCCATTATGTCACAGGGCATACCTCCTTTCCATGAGCACCATGTTGAGTCCTGACATTGAGAGAGACCTTCATCGCTGACTCAGCACTGCAGTCCTGCTCATCTTCATTCCTTGCATCTTCCCCTTAGAATAGTTGACATGCTCACCCACAAAACATGGGCAATCAAGGAGTTGCAAGGCCACCTCTTTGGTTCCTCAGCTTAATACATAGAGCACTGTGCACCTTCAATGCAAATTAAGGTGGAAAGCTCAAGTTTTAGTGCTTAAACCAGTATATCCTAATGGTTGAAGGTGTTTATAAGCCACTCACATATGAGAAGGTCTCTACTGTAAGGTTTGTGGGGTGTGAAATTATATGCTTCTGCCCACTTGTGTCATATAGTTCGATTTTACACCCTGGGACACACTTCCTGGAGTCTGAGCATGGTCCCCCAAAACTAAAGGTATAGCCTGCACTTTTGCACAGGGTAACACCAGAGCTAGGTTATGCAGGATTCTTTGGCAGAGCTGCACCCCAGGACTTGTCTGGGTCCTACATTAACCTCTCCATCTCTTCTTACTTTTCAAATGAGTACTAGACAACTTTTAGAGAGCTATTTTCAAAATCGATACCATGCATGGTTCTAGCCACTAGGAATAACTGCCTATCTCCTCCCCTCCTCCCCAACTCTGCCCCTCCTGGTCCAGCCTAAAATTTCCACAAACCACGCCTTGTCTGTCCAAATGGAAACTTTTCCAAGAGTGTATCTGCAGTGTCTCGAGTTTGAAAGATGAGTGTCTGCTATAAGATATAAAATATATGCATCTCTGGTTATGCATTGATCCTCTGTGATTTGTATCTGCCCTCCAGTGGCTCCCAGCCTAATGGATGCAGACACCTTGTAGTTGTGGGCCTGGAATCAGAAAAAACCGAAGCCAAATTTTCACAGTCCTGTTTATTTACTATCAACCTTGGAGAAGCAAGTTAACAAATCTCAGCCTTTGCTTTGTCATCTCTGAGATGTAGCCACTTTTAAGGGGCTATTATGAAGATAAGATGAGCTAATGGTTAGAATAGGTTTTGTTTCCTGGTCCTGCCTAAGGA